TGCAGTTTGCGGTTGAGTGATGTTTGATGCACACCAGTGTCAATGTGCCTCCTGTTCTGTCCGGAGATATATACAATGTGTCTACGTACGTTGATAACGCAGATGCAGTCCAGGAACCCACTAGTGTACAAATTCGATGACGATAAATATATATAAAGAAAGGAACTATCATCGTGAGACTGTGCTATAAAACTGTATGCATCCAAATCTGACAGTTGAGGCTTCTGGTCCTCCGCCAGAAATACCGGTGCCGTCCATACGACAACTTAATTTCTGCTTTCGTCTCAAACAAACGGGAAGAACAATAACGAGAAGTCAGCTGGCTCCTATAACGCCATCCTTTGGTTAGAAACAAAACATAACCAAAGCCCAAATATACGGAACGAGTTCAAAAATCATATTAATTTACTGCCGAGCACCTTAGACGCCCAACTCGTGCCTCTCAAGTCACACCAGAACTGGACATCCGCAGACACACCGGAAAACAAGTTTCAACAATATGTAGGTGAAAAGTTAAGGTGCGATTCACACGTTTGCGTTCAGACCGACCGAGGGCTAGGGTTGCTATGGCAACAACCCCCGTTTTTGTTGGAGTCGATGCAACTGTTGCCATGGCAACCCTCGCAGTCAGTCGGACTCAACGCAAGTCTTTGAATCGATCTTTCGTGTGTTTCATTCATACACGCCTCCACGTCAGTAGCGGCATCTCACCAGTTCGTTCCCCTGCTTCTCAATATATATATATATATATATAGCGCGCGCCGGATGCTCCTTCGGAGAATATAAGAAATGACGGGCGTACGCATCATTGCGGAAACGAACCCATAGTGATAAGGCAGCCTAATAAGCCGTCCTCTTACGAAGCGCAGACTTCGTTTTTCTGGTTAGAAAATGCATGAAAGTGGACGTGCCCGCGCGGATTTTCAGCATTTTCATTTCAGCGTTGCGCCTGTTGCACTTGCGGGCAACCGTTGCGCAATAACACGCTTCCCACGCGGCCCACGTCCTTCTAAACTTTACTAATTCAATTTTTTTTTTTTTAAATGAAGCTTGGCAAGTTATAATAGACCCTTTCCGGAATTCAGTGCCATCTGGTGACTCAAATGGCAGTTTAATTTTTTCTATACTAATGGCGGCAATGAGCCTGTGGTCTGCAGTATTTTATGGGACACCGTCACTTTTAAAGGTAAACAATAAACGAGAAAGTGCACTTCACTACAATTATTTTTCAATCTCTCTTAGTGTCGATGGCGAAACAAATGCAGCCAGTCGGAACAAAGCGCCAACCTACATAGACGCCTTGATAGAGGTTTGTACATCAAGGGGCTTTGAAGCTGATTGACTGCTACTAACAGATTGACCGGGACCGAGTTAGAAATGAACGCTTACGCAGCTTTTGCGTCCAATTCTTGCTTCACGCTGCGCTAACATCTAGAATGTATTGGCCTTGAATCACCTGCTTAGGAGCATCTTCAACTTCTTCCTTCATC